CTTTAGTTATCTGCATGTCTTTCTTCATATTGCCCACATTGGCATGGATAACTTCAAGTTAGTTTGTCTCTTTTTTTGTGGGGGGAGGATTCTGGGGACTGAACTCAGGGAAGTCGGCCACTGAGCCACATCCCTAGCCCTATTTTGTATTTTATTTAGAGACAGGATCTCACTCAGTTACTTGGCGCCTTTACACTCCTGCCTCAGTCTTCAGAGCTGGAGGGATTACAGGCATGTGTCACCACTCTTAAATAATGTTAGCATCAAGTTCTGAGGACCTCTGTGACTACTAGTTGGAAACATTGACTCTAAACCACTGACCAGGTTATTAGCTTGATTAAGTTACTTGTTCGGTTTATATTTTACAATTGTTACGTGATTTACCCTGTTTGTTTTCATGGATGTTGGCAGAATTAAATATGATAATATATATGAAGATAGTTGACTTTTTAAAAAATTTTTTTGTTGTCAATGGACTTTATTTTGTTTATTTATATGCAGTGCTGAGAATTGAATCTCGTGCCTCACTCATGCTAGGGAAGCACTCTACCATTGAGCCACAATCCAAGCCCACAGTTGACTTTTTATATTTGTGGATTTAACATCTATGAATTCAACCAACCATGGATCAAAAATAATAGGAAATAAAATAATTATATTTGTATCTATCACATACAGATTTTTGTTGTCATTATTCACTACACAATGTAACATAACAATTTACATAGTATTTATATTTTATTAGGTAGTATGATGAATATATTGATGATTTAAAGTATATGGGAGGATATACATAGTTTATTCACAAATTCAATGCCATTTTCTATAAAAGACTTGAGCATCTGGAGATTTATGTGTCCATGGGAATGGGTGGTCCTAAAGCAAATCTTCCCTGGATATTGAGGGAGAACTCTACTTGAAAATATTGTAAATGAAAGTAATTGCAAGTTGTTTCCACAATATAACTGGGATTACCCTTTGCTTACTTTAAGTCTTAATGTGTTCCTTGTCCTCTCAGGTTATGTAGGGGAAAAAAAATACAATCCCCGTTCTTGCACACTTGTCAGTCTACCTCCTCAAACTTACATAGCTCTAATTGTACCTAATGAAAGAAAAGTAACATTTTTTGGGGTCTTAGTTGCGGGAAACATTTTAAATAGAACTGGCCAGGGGCATTTTTCAAAATAAAATCTAAATAATGCAAGATTTTTAATGGGAACTGTGCCAGAGCTGGATTACATGACTAATAAAAATCAACCTGAGTCTCAGACTGTCAGGCAGTCTTGATCATACTTTTACTAGGTCAGCAATAGTGACAGCAGGACTCAAACTAGGCTTTGTCTTTGAATTCTAGGATCTTGGTCATCATCAACAACTTCATATTAGAGCTTGTTTAAGGGTTAACAAGCAATTTGTTGTCTACTATTCATATGCCAGTAGAGTGGGAGTAAATATATGGAGAGCCCCAGCCTAAGGTTGCTCATGGAAGGGTAAGGGTTAGAGAACACAGAAACATTTCCCCCTTTAACCCCTTATCACCATCTCAAGTTAATGCAAGTGAGGCTGGCATGACCTGCATCATTTGTACTTTGAAAGAGTTGGACAATGACACATAAGAGAGTTTCCTGTCTTGTGCCTGAAAACATGTCTGGGGATCTGGGCTTTATAGTAGAAGACACTGGTCTAAGATGTTTCCAGAAGATAAATGGAACTTTATTAACCTTTTGACTTCCAACCTCCTGGCCTTGTACTACTTGTTGTACCTGAGGGTTTCTTCCTGCTTTAGCTGCTCTTTCTTGATTCACTTATTTTGTCGCCTAAGTCAGTGTAATATTTTTATGCATTCATACCAGCCGAATCCTCTGGTATTAGCTACCTTGCCAACTGACCTATTTGGTACTTTTCCTGTCAAGTAGCATTCCTAACCCAGTGGCCTTTCTTAAAATAATACTGCCAGTGTTATTTTTTAAAATATATTGGTGATTGTTCATGGTTATTTTAACATATAAATCAAAATTATTATTTATTAGCAATATACATAGTAATGCTAGCAATACCAACAATTCCAATTATGGCTTCAGTTTATTGAATACCTACTATATGCCAGTACTATATTATTTATTTTCCACATATTATTTTAATATGTGGTTATACATTATAATAATTCCAGTTAAGAATATGCATCTATTTTTGCTCATAGTTAGAAATTCCATTTCTAATGGAGTCATGGTAAAGAACTTTTCAGTTTCCAGGTGAGGAAACAGAGTTACATAACTTGTCTGAGGTCACAGAGCTAGTTAAACCCAGCGTGTCTTAGTTGAAAGCTTAATTCTGAGTTAAGAAACCACTATATGGGCTGGGGTTATAGCTCAGTGGTAGAGCTCTTACCTAGCATGTGTGAAGTACTGGGTTCAATCCTTAGCACCACATAAAAAGTAAATAAATGAATAAAATAATGGTGTTATGTCTATCTACAACTAAAAAACATTTTAAAAAGAAAGCACAATATTAGAATTATCCTTTACTTTAGTCAACCTTATTTTCTTCCAAAGGGATAAATGCATTTTATAGTGAGCTTCTTTCTGAACTTTGGACATTCTACCTATTCTTTCTATTATTGAGACCTCGGGTGATCAGTTCTCTTTCCATGGAGGTATAGTATAAGAAGGGGAATATATTTAACAAATAAATCTCTTCATCTGCATGGATAAATGTCATGGAGCAGATATGTTTAAAGTTTGTAACATCAAAAAGTGTTCAGAATACTTTGGATATCCAGCAGAAACATTTCTTTTCTTTCTGTGTTAATACCTTTTAAACCATGTGAACATTTACCTTCCCTCTACCCACTGCCACTGCTCTAGTCCTCTTTGTCTCCCAGATATAGCCAATATACTCCATTCTTTGCCAGTATGCAGATGTACAAAACTTGACTATTTTTTCCATTAATGGTAATTCAAGAATACCTGAAAACTATCTAGGTCATAGATCTAGGAATTTGATATTCAGATAGTCATATAACTGAATCTGAATGAGGATGTTTGAACCATATGCTGTTGATGCCAAAGTAGAGCAGAGATAACATATCTGTTAAACAAATACCACTTGGTGCTTACTCATTTAAGTAACAAACATCTACTGAGCATCTATTAGTTAATCATTTATATTACAGAGATAGAGTCATAAACAAGAGCAACAAATTATTTGTCCTAATTAACTTACATTTATGAAATAAACAAATGTTAGAAGAGCAGAGAGAAGGGCAGAGAGAAGAGCAGAGAGAAGGCCTATGGTTTGTATAACGTGTTCAAGAAACAGAGAAAAATGCCATTGTGACTGTACCTTAATGAATGAAGAAAAGAGTGCAGTGTTGAACCAGATCATGTATTGCTTTGTTGGAAACAAGATAGTTTGGAATTATTTATGACAAAACTATTGAAATCATAGTCAAAAATAATTAAATTGATTAAACTCCGCTTTATTCTCTCCTGACATTTTATCATAATAGTGCCTTTAACTTCATAGCATTTAAAGAGGTTATCCAAAACTTGACAAGAGTATGTGAATTTCTTTCATTTGATCCTAGTGGGCATAACTCATGTTGTTTGGGTTCTACATTAGGAAGAGAGAAAAGCAATATCCTACAATCTACATAGTGTATTGGGTTGCATCTGAACATCTGAATTAGAGTGCTTTCACAGCATTCTTCTCACATGACATAGTCAGGGGTGCTTGCTAATTAACTTCACTAGAAACAAGTAGGAGTCATTTTGATTATGTTAGTTTATAAGCCCAATGCACACAGCTGTCTGTCCTCCTGTGTTTTGAGATATGTGAATTTCAATGAGTGAGTAATAAATAGTATGCATAGCACCAGTCATTTGGGGCCATCTTCAAGTTAGCAGTTGGCATGCTAATTCCATCTGTTATAGGATTATTATTACTTGTTGGTAGAAACACTTGGTTTTTGTATAGCTGCCCTTGGCACTTTGTATTTTTGGCAGCAAGTATCCTTTATGTTTAGAACAGATACACTCCTGAAAAGTCCTCCATAAAGTAAAATTCAACACTCCTACCAAAATTTACAGTTGGCCTTCTCAGTCTTATCAGGTTGCTTCTGATCCTTTCCCCACACATTTCAATTTTCTTCTGTGTGGTTGACATCCTCTGGGTAGGAAAAATTCATGGAGTATACATACAGAAATGAAGGCATACAATTTTGTTTATTTATTTGTAGTTAAATAAATTGGTCAAACATGTTTACTGAGCTCATATTACTGAGAAGGTACTAACCAAGTTATAAGAAAGTAGAATTTTAATTTCATAAATACTCTCCCATAATGAGTTAGTCAATTTCTAAAGTGGCCTAATGTTAAAATTCAGTGGTGATATTCTTTTATAATGGTACATTATGTTGGATTAATTAAAATTTACTCCACTTGTTCTTTATGGGAGCCTCAAATTTGATCCTTGGTACGTCTCAGTAAGCACCTTAAAAAGGTATATAAGTTAACATGTGACCTCTGTGTGTTGATCTGGTTTTCTATATATATCTTATAAAAGGAAATGTTGGCTGAGAAACCAATGGTAAAATTCAACAAGCTCTTGAATAATTTCTAAAGGACTAGCCATGGAGGAAGAGCAGAGATGACTCTAGCTGTATTTATAGAAATTTTCTCACTAGTTTTCACTTAGATTTTCAGTGTAGCACCATTTACTAACTATTGGAAAAAAAAAGTCTGACTTTGTTTCAGTTCTGTAGATGGCTATAACTCCCCTTTATAGCTCTATAGCTACTTCATGGCTGGCAATTTCCACATTAGCATCTTATTTCATATCACTGTGTCAGTTGAAGTAGAAAATTGCTCTGTGTTGTTTTAATGTCATTTCTGATTTGGGGGCAAGCCTTAAATGGAAAAGTCAATACCCTTGAAATATAGAGTACAAACAAATATGTAAACACCCAATAAAACTATTTTGTTATTTTTCTGTTCCTACAGAAACTCAACATATTGTATGAAGGTGTCAATGTCCTTGACTGTAGCAGAGAATGAATCAGGCCTGTGCTACAATAGCAGAATCCGCTATTTAGAAAAATCTGAAGTCACTAAAAGAAAGGAGATCTCCTGTCCAGACATGGATGACTTTAAGAAGTCTGATCAGGAGCCCGATGTTGTCTGGTACAAGGTAATTCAGCATGGTGTCAAATTCATTTTTACCTCAGTTTGTGGCAGGCTTTGGGTATATGAAAAGTTTTTGGTATTAAATATTTTACTGAGCATAATCAATGGATTGATAACCAGGTAACTGAGACATTTGTCTCCTAAATACCACTGATTTTCATGCATTTTCATCAGCAGGTGTCAAAAGCTGTCCCACTTCCCCCAACAACTAAAAATAATCAAAATCTCCCTTTAACACAACTCATAAGACCAAATGGGAAGAAAAGTGAAGCTTTAAATAATACATGAAAGAATTATTTGGGGACATATAAATATTATTTACTATTAGTAATTGAAAGGCCCATCATTATAAGTAGTACTTGAAAAGGTGTTATGATCATCTACAATGTAAAAGCCACTGTAGTGAATACAGAGGAGATAAATGGGTCCGATGCAGCATTCGTGGACACTTATAAGGTCTAGTAACTGGAAATAAACTACACTCAGTGAAAGTTGAATTGAAGAGAGTTGAATGAAATATTTATTTACAGTGATATGGGCAGAGTTGAGGGAACCAACTCTGGGAGGCTGTTAAATTCACCCCACTAGCCTACACTGGTAAGGGGAAGGATCAATGTCACTGGAACCTAGAAAGAATAGAGAAGGCCTATCAAGATTTGTAGCCTTAGAGGAACATGTGAAGGTGGAAGAGGGAGGGAGGGAGCAGGATAAAAAACTTAACCTTTCTTAACTCCTACTCTCTGGTTTTCTGCTAATTGCCTCCCCAATTTGAACTCAAAGAGAAATCAGAAGCAAAGATGGTAGATACAGTCAATAATCTTCAGCTTTTCTATGCATAGAGTAGGATAGACAAGGACAGAGAGTGGATCCAGTAGACAAGGAGAGAGCAACCATGTGAGTCCAGATATGATATTCTGCCCTGTGGTCCTGTAGGAGGACTGAGCAGTCCATGCTGGTTCTGAGCTACAGAGGTTGACCGTTCTTTTGTATGACAGCTGGAGGTGACCAAGAAGAATTTGTGGGCAGATGCTACGTGCATTGTTGGACCCTAACAACACATAAAGAGCTATAGTAGGTTGTTTCTCTAGGATTCCACTGACTCTCAGTTTGCAGGGAAACCTAAACCCTAACTCCCACAGTTGTTGGGTGATTTTACATTTGGAAGCCTCTACATGTTCATACATGATGGAATTTACCAATAAGCCACAAGAGCATGTTCTTCACTTTGACATATTCCTTTTATTTTTTTTCTTAATGAAGACAATCTTGTGGCATATTAAAGAAGGTCATTATATTTATTATACATAGACTTATAATTTAGGGTGATCTTTTTTGGGGAGGGGGGTACTGGGATTTAACCCAGGGATGCTAAACCACTGAGCCACATCCCTAGCCCTTTTTATTTTTTATTTTGAATCAGCGTCTCATTAAGTTGTTGAATACCTTGCTAATTTGCTGACACTGATCTTGAATTCTCAATCCTCTTGCCTCAGCTTCCTGTGCCCCTGGGATTATAAGTGTGTGCCATCATGCCTGGCTAGTGTGATCCTTCATGTGATCATTTCTCTCCTTCATATTTCTTAAACACTATTATGTGGCATTCACTGAGCTAAGATTGGTTTATGCATCATCTTATTTCAATCTCATTGCAATTCTGTATGGAGAATACCATTGTATGCATTTAATAGAGAAAATAATCAGAGCTTAGATATAAAGTTACATGGCAAACAAAACTTGATTTATATTCAAGGCAGTGTGGCTCCAGAGTCCATTTTATTAATTACTACTCTTTTCTGTAATGAACCAGCCTTGATCATTGGCACTTCTGTAAAATTTAGTGCTGGTGCTAAGGATCAGGCAAAAAGAGAGTAAGATGGTTTTATTTCAATTTTATAGGTGAGGAAGGGAATTTGACCTCCCCAAGATATACCAGTTAGAGGTAAATTCCAGGTCATCAGCCTCCTTACATATGAATTCATTCTTCTATCTCCTCTCTGTATCTTTCTGCTATATTATTTCTTCCCTTTTCCTCACATCTCTAGACATCACTGTTATCATTACATACCAAAGCAATTTATTCCTTGGGAAATGCTACCACCCAATTTTTCAAATAGAGCAACAATGGAGAAGGAAAAGGCATTTCCAGAATAATAATGTTTAAAATTTGCTTTTATTATTAAATTCCTTTTAAACTGATATATAAAAACATAAAAATTGAACAAATTAATGGGGCAAGATGTGATGTTTTGATACTCATATACATCATGTATATGTAATGTGTAAATCAGATTAAATGTATCTATGTCCTTAAACTTTTATCATTTAATTGTGATGAGAAAATTTAGAAAATCCTCTCTTCTACTTATTTTGTTTTGCTGTTTTGTTTTTGATTTTATTAGTGCTGGGGACTGAATCCAGGGCCTTCTGCTTGTTAGGTAAGAACTCCACCACTGAGTTATACTCTCAGTCCCTTCTCCTGGTTATTTTAAAGGTATAAGACCTTATTGCTTACTATAATCATACTACTATGCAATAATACTACATCAGAACTTCTTGCTCCTATCTAATTATAACTTGGTACACATTGATTAACATTACCTCTTTCATCATGCCTGTTTACCTTCCACAAGTTCTAGTAGCCACATTTCTATCTTTAACTATTAGGAGATCAAGCTCAAGGCCACTCTCAGTGATTTAGCTACACCCTATCACAAAATTATGAATGAATAAATGAATGAATGAATAAATGGACTGGGGTTGCAGCTCAGTGGTAAAACACCCCTGGGTACAATCCCTAGTTCCCTGCCCCCCCCAAAAAAGAAGATTAACATTTTAGATTCCACATATGAGTGAGACCTTTTATACTTTTCTCTCAGTGCCTGGCTTATTTCAATTCACATAGTGATTTCTAGTTCCATCTTTGTTGTCACAACTGACAGGATTTTATTCCTTTTATGGCTGGATAATTTTCCATTGTGTATATGTGCTACATTTTCTTTATCTGTTCATCAGTTGATAGAACCTTCTTTTTTTCTCCTAGTTCGTGGCTACTTTGATTACTGTTGCAATGAACATAGGGATAGAGATGTCCCATCAACATACTGTTTCATTTCCTTTGAATATTCCAGAAGTGGGATTGCTGGATCATATGATAGTTTTATTTTTAACTTTTGAGGAAACTTCAAACTGTTTTTCATAATGGCTGTACTAATTGACATTCACACTTATAGTGTATAAAGATTCTTTTCTTCATATCATGACCAAGACTTGGTGTTTTTACTTTTCTGATATTGACCATTCTTATTAGAGTGAGATGATATACCATTGTGTTTTTGATACGAATTTTCCTGATTATTAAAGATACTGAGCAGTTTTCCAAATACGTGATTGCCATTTTTTTATTGGTTGTTCAAAACATTACAAAGCTCTTGACATATCATATTTCATACATTAGATTCAAGTGGGTTATGAACTCCCATTTTTACC